TTATAATGGTAATTGTATATTGATAAATAACTTTTAGTAATCTTGTAAATATTTATTAGTACTATAATAGTAAAATATCATTTACCATATACTTTAAAAAAAAAAAGCTTAATGAATTTTAAATAGATTTTATTTACATAATTATAAACTATAAAGTTTTTTAATTAATGGAATGTAAAACTCAAATCAACCAATAAACAAATTATTAATCATTATCTCCAAAATATGGAAAATGCTAAAAGGAAAATTGAAAAGACAAAGATTACGGCTATGGCCCTTTTCTAGTAACTAAAAAAGTTTGTAGAAAATTCACATATTATTTATAATAAACTTTGAATCATTTTATATATTAACTAGTTCATATCTTATGTGATGCATAGGTAGATAGTACTAAAGTTATTTTTATAAGCTAAATGTTTGATTACGTGCTTACATTATGTTAATATAAAATAAACTTACCCATTATCATGAAAATTGAATCGTATATTTATTTAAAATAAGATTGCTTTCATCGTGACTCAACCCCATCAAAATGAACAAACAAAAATACAATGTATGTTATCCGAAAAAACATGTTCAAAACACTTCAAATTATCTATACACTTTAAAAAAACACCTAAAATTTTATATGATATTTTAAAAAAAAATATCTAAAAACACATGTAATGTTCTAAGATAATTTTCAATCATGCTATTTATTAATAAATAAAAAAACATGGTACATATATTAGTGTACTAGCATAGTACAACATTCATGTCATGCAATAATAAAAATGTTACCCATGATTTTCAACAAAATAAAAAGAGAAGTATTTGTTTTAAGTTTTAAATAAGTCCTTTTTCATTTCGGGAAAAAAAAAATTAAATAAGTCGTAAAAAATCTTATTGTTATTTACATATAAAAAATGACACTTGTCAATTATACTATAAAAAATCTCATTATTATTTATATTTAAAATAACACTTGTCAATTGTACTAATTACCTCATATGTTATAATAATTTATCAATTCTTATTATATAATGAACTTTGTAATCATGTTTTAAATAAAATAATAATAATATATAATTTAAAAGTAATTATGATTTTAGTAAATCAAGCTCGTCTTCTCTCTGTGTTTTTTTTTTTTTAATCAAGAAAGGAGGCCGAAGCCTAGAATCCGCTAGATCATAGTTGCTTGTAGATAGGCGACGCCAACGACGTCATGCAGAAGCCACGATTGAACCTTTAGCGGCGGTGCCAGAAGACGCTGACACCCAGATGGGCAAGAGTGGCCTAACGAAGCCAGACAATTCGCCACGAAATTAGCCTCCCGATAACAATGCACCACGTGCACCACCCATGCACGGTCCAAAAGGTCTCGAATTGCCCGGACAAGAGCTCCATGTAACCCACGCGAGTCAATCACCACCCCCAAGATCAGATAGATCACACATTATCAACTTCCGCAATCACGTTGCGATGCCCTAAGTCACATGCTAACGTAAGGCCTTGAACAAGCCCCATAGTTCAGCCCCGGTTATGGTAGTGAAGCCAATGTTCAATACAAAGCCCCCAAGCCATTGACCATTGTCATCCCTCACAAGGCCTTCTGCCGATGCCATACCAAAGGTCCGGAGCAACGAGTCATCCGTGTTCACCTTGACCACCCCCATCGGAGGTGCGGTCCAAGCCACCCACCTCACGTGGCGTCCTACACCAACGCCACCAAGCCGATGCTCAACTAAGGCAGCCATCTGGATATTGTCAACCATCTGGCCCACCTCCCTCACCGTATCAGAAATCGAGAAGGACGAAGCAGTAAAAATGGCAGCATTGCGATCACTCCATAGCCGCCATACTGTCACCCCAAAAGTCCGTGCCCAGCCTTTCACACTCTCCGGTGAGGTGTTGGTAAGATTCACCCGCAACCACTCGTGGAGGTCAAAAGGGAAGAATGCACTGCACAAGGGAGTAGGTAGGAGCCGGGTCCATACACGGGCAGCTCCGTGGCAGTCCCGTAAGACATGAAGGGTCGTTTCCTCCACCTTGCCACAAATCGAACAGAGTGAAGAGCTCGCGAGATGCCGGCGGGCTCTTTCGACATTAGTCAGCAAACATTCAGAGGCGGCCAGCTACAAGAAATGGCATATATGCTGGGGCACATCCCATCTCCAAACTACCCTCCATAACGTCCGATCAATAGTCGGCTCCCTCGCGAATAACGAATCATAGGCCGATTTAGTCGTGAAGTGACCATTATCAGATAGGCCCCAGTACATCATATCGTCACAAAGAAGTGGCTGGGGGGGTAATATCGACGCTATGCGCAGTAGGACCCGAGTCGGCAATAGAGGCGCGAACAAGTGTCAGTTCCACCCTCCCGACTCTGACACAAAATTGGCCACCGGAAGGTCCCCCTGCTTCGCCGGGATCGGTCCAGTTGCAACACTACACAGCGGCATGGGTTGATAGAGCCACCTATCCTGCCAGAGTTTCACTCGGCGTCCATTTCCAATAGACCATCGGGTCCCCTTGATAAGCTCAGGCCAAACCTTCCCAATAGCCTGTAGGATTGTCGACCCCTTAGGGAACACAAAGTCCTCGCCCATAGAGACTATACATAATTTGTACTTAGCGGCCAAAAGACGAACCCATAAAGTATCCGGTTTTGTCAGGAGGGTCCATCCTAGTTTCATCAAAAAGGCCATATTCATTTCCCTATGACGCTTCAGACCCAAACCCCCTGCCTCCTTAGTGCGACAAACCGTATCCCCCACTACCAAGGGAATTTTCCGAGCCATCCCACTCCCACCCCATAGAAATCTGCGGCACCGAGCATCCAATTTGTCACAAACGGAAGATGGAAGCCAGGCTGTCTGCATCCAATGATATACTCTTTCTGTTTTTCTTTTTATGTTTATATTGTTTGGTCAAAGACCACAACACGACTCAAATTTGACCTTCCCGTTCCCAATATTGCCGACGCAACCTCCATAAGTTTATGCAGAGAATCAGCCTAGAGTTCACCTCCACAATGTCAGAGGTTTTGTTGGAGACTTTCTGTTGTTGCAACCCTTCATAAATCCAGTCACTAATTCAACAACGTCAAACACCTATTTTCTTTTTCTTCTTCTTCTTTCCTCTTTCATCCCCTTTTCCTTCATTTTTTACTTCCTTTCCATGTGTTTAAATACAATAAGATAATATCCATATACATTGGAGTATTCTAAAAATCATGGTCGAATGTTCAAAATAATTTAATTAATTAACACCACTGAACTCGATTCCAAACACGACCGAATTGAACTACACGTAATATAAGATGATGGTTTATGGTAAACTAAATTTTCACTATCATAGTTTGTATCAACATAAAGTGGTAACGTATTGTAGCTGAATTTTTTTATTATTTATTTACCATAATTTACGCATGGTGAATATAAAAAAGGAAAAGTTCCTCAAAAATCCCCAAACCCTTTTCCGATTTTCTCCTCAGTTCCCACACAAATTTTTTTCTTCCTCACTCTCTACCCCCTTAAACATCTTCCTTTTAACTCTCTGCTTTTAAAATAAGTCAAAAATAAAATTACTTATTGCATCATCCCACTAAAATCAACTTTACATATTATTTTATTATTACTTTTATCTCCTACCTACCAAACACATAATATTATTTTATTTGAATCTTCTTCTTCCCAACACACCACCTCCCTCATCTCTC